CCCCCCCCCCCCCCCCCTTCATTACACCATGGCATAATGTGATGACCATGTGCATTATTTTAAGGTAGATAGATATAAGTTATTTGTCCCCATAGGGAAATTGGTTTTCAGCACAATTGTAAGTTATTTAAACAAAAAGCACATTAACCGAAGCCAGCAAAAAACACAGTTCATACCAGTTCAATTGTATTTGACTTCAAACTGGTTTCTAATGTTTTTGTCTTGGGACTCTTTAAGACAAGCACTGCCTGCACATTTTGGGCTCTGATTACATTGCAGGGACTAGAAATGTATATTGTCAAATAAATATGATGGAGTAAAAACACTGTAGGGCCTTCCTAAAACAAGTGTCCTCATAAAAGGTCAATAAAGGTCCGTCTTCTTCTTAAAACATTTTTGAAATACTATGCAGTCTACAAATACCTCGAAATTGTATTTAAGTGTGAGTACTTGAGTAAAAGTACATAGTTAGATTCCACAACTGCCTCTGATGCAGGTTGGGAACTAGTATCACATCATGTCATCCTTTTTTACTTCAGTTTCAACCCAATGACCCTGAACATCCCCAGACTGATCAGAGTTTCTGTGCTGGTATTTGCACGCCACCTGGTGGATTGATTTGGGAATTGGCACTTCACCACTTGTTAATCTGCCAGGGGCCATTTTGAACCGCACGGTGTTACCACACGCTTGACTGGTGTGAGTAATGTGTAAGGAATCCATAAACAAGAAAAGACACATAAAATAAACAAACCAAAACGTGGCTTTGACACACGTGCCTGCAGACAAAGTGTGTTCAAAGGCAATTTATCTGTGAGTATAATCGACTGTTAGGCTCAATTAATAATTATTGTTGATTATGTGGCTTTGACCCTCTCAAATAAGTGTAGGCCTCATGTTTGTCTTTAATTATGCAATTAGCTTTATGTTATTTATTATAGATTTAACGTTTTGCATGTTTGGTTTATGATGATCCATGACTTTAGATGGTATCAGTTCAGGGGCATACTCATATCTGAACAATATTTTCCATCAATTACATTCCAGATGTCTTGTGAGTGGAGGTGGCCCATGGGTAACAAATCTCTCCTGCAGATATGGTATTTGTCCACTTCGGAGTTATATCTTCAGCAAAGGGCTATTTTAAATTTAAATTGTATAACAAGCAAATTAGTGAGCTCATTATACTTACTATGACGACCGTGTTATTTTAGACATAAGCATCAGAAGAGATTGTATAAAGTCACATTTCCCCCATAATAAAGACAGCAAACACACTAAATTCCTCTAGGTATACGATATAAATATTGATGAAGAGTTTGGCGCTTCTTGCTTGGGCCTCTCAGTTTGAAAACTTTTCTCCACGGGTCTCCTAAACTTGGCTGGATGCTCGTGTTTGAGCTCAATTAATGAGGCGGCTAAACTCATTAATTGCCACTTAATTGGCCCCCGTCGCTGCGCGCGCTGCTTCCTTTGGCTTTTAGCGCACCGCCATGCCTCCCCCTGCCGCCAGACATCACAATCCCACCTTGTCACAACGATTTAGGGTCAGTCTCTCAGACGGGAAGGTGCTCTCGCCGCGAACCCCCCTTCCACCTCTGGATCCCCACCTCTATCAGTATCTCCCTCCCACTCTATCTCGGTGTTTTATGTCTGCGTCACAACAAGTCGGTTTAGAGCGCGAGGCAGGGATGATGGCGTCTCTGGCGGCTTGATTCCGGCGCTGCTCTGACAAACCCGCCTTAATAGCATCAATAGGTGGAGGCGGAGAGGGGGGAGAGGAGGGCTAAAGCGACGGGAACATGACGAAACGGTATCGCGGAGGACGGACAAACTAGGCTGAGAGACGGACGGACAGTCAGTCACCCCACCTCCTCCCCCTCCTCCTGGCTGACGGCTTGACTGACACACACACTCGTGGGCGCTTGGCACAGACAGGGACATACATGCACATCCTCCACTTTTTGGAAACACGCAGGGCTGCGCATCCAAACGGGCAGTAATTGGGCAGAGGAGATCCACAGCTCATGAGGGCATTTCATGTCCAGCCTGCCCAGGAATCACTGTGACCCCGACGGAAAGGAGTTCGACTTGACAGGTACCCTTCACCGGCACTGTGCAATTTGCCTGATTTCCCTTTGAATCACAAAAGGCTACATGCACTGTTGTGTATCCTGCGTCTGTCTTGAGTGCATGCACTGGAACAAATGCTTGAGCAGAGATAATGCCTGCACAGTCATTTCATGCATCTATTCAAGTTTTTCAGATGTTGGGAGAGAAGAAGCAGAAAAGTGCCTGGCAGATGCTTCAAGTAGCTGCACAGTGATCTTTGCTCATTCAATCAAACTGTATTGCAGCAGTCATCATGCAGTGTTTTTTTTCTGTGTGTGTGTGTTTCATGTGTGCAGTAATCATTTGTCTTGCTCTCTGGTTGTGTACTCACACTCATCTTTCACTGTGGTGGATACAGGCTGTCGCTATGCTCTGATCTAAAAGGAAGAGGAGGGGGTGGGGGATTTTAACCCCTTTGCACCGAAGCCCGCCTGTCTGAGAGCCAGGCGTAACGCCGGGGCCATAAACCCCTCTGTCAGCAATGGCAGCAAAGTATTCAGCGAATAAATCGGATTTCCATTTCACATGAGCCCTGCTCTCTCTCCCCCTCTCTACCCTCTCTGTCTCTCTCCTCAGGATGGGGGGAGTAAGTGAAGGAGATGATGTGTTGGCTCGATGGAGTGATGGACTACTGTACCTCGGCAATGTGAAAAGAGTAAGTGCGTGTGGGAGTGTGCATGTGTGTGGCAGGGGGACTTTTCAGTGAGTGTGTTCACCTGGATTCTGAAAAGACTTCCATTTAGTTTTGTCAATCATTCCCGCTCACCTGCTATCTTCCTCTCAGGTAGATGGAGTCAAGCAATGTTGTCTGGTGAGATTCGAGGACAACTCGGAGTTCTGGGTACTGAGAAAGGACATTCACTCGTGTAAGAAGAACTCTCTTTTTTCCCTCCCTCTCCCCTCATCTGCAAGAGTTAAATAGCTTTCAGTTGGAAGCACTTAAGGTGATAAGATGTGGTTTTTGAATGCATATGCTCAGCTGAACTCATACTAAAGGTGGTTGTTTCCACTTTTAAACTGCATGAGGAGTTAAACAAATATACTTTTACCAATTTTGTGATAAAAATGTTATTATTTTCCTCAGGATCTCAGAATTTTCACTCATAGAACAATGCAGAGAATATATTACAGGCACGTTGTGATACTAAGTATATGCATCTGGGCATGTTGTGGTTGGTTTATTAGAGTCTATTTATGAATTTATTAGACTAATGACTCTTAAGGGAGATGGTGCCCCCACTCCACCTTACATCGAGTGAAGGGGGGAGTTGGATGCTTGTCAGGACCAAGCTGAATATCCGCCCGTCAAATGAAGTGAAATCTGAAAGGGTGCAGGAGACACTGAAATCAATGAGGTGGCAAGGATGTGAATCAATATACATAAATTAATGCAGTTTACGGCTCTCTCTCTGTCTTCCTCTTTCACATTTACTTCCTCCCCTCCCCTGCCTCTCTCTGTCTTTCTCTGTTTGCCTCAGTCGCTGCTGGAGTGGAAGAAGTTTGCTGTATTTGTGACGCTCCGCCTCTTAAAGAACCCCTCATAAATTGTCTTAAATGTCGCCACGGTAAGGAAACACGCCTTATCATACGCTGTCAAATGCTGGTTCTCCTACACTTCTTGCACTGACCTTGAAGATTTGACACAGTATTGTAAATAATAGTGTTGCAGATTTTTTAAAAGACACACAGAAACCATACATCGTAAATGATGGATATGAGTTGTTGCACCTGTATCATTTCTAGAATGAAAATTAATCAGATGCCCGAAGACATAGAGCTTATGTCATAGACTAAAACAAGATGTCTCTACTTGGGCTTATTGCCAATTGAAATATCCACTCCAGACATATTTTAAAACCTTATAAAACTCTGCATTAAATTGTAAAGTATGTTTGATTCATTTTTTGTCTATTTCTTAAAACTACATCTGCTCCTTCTCCCTTATTGAATTATCCAGGATCTAGGAGTAAGCACATTTTATTTTGTCCTATTAAAAAGTTTTAACTACTGGGCCGAGATGTCTCCTACGTCATTGTAACTTCCGCACAGTAGTTGCTCTGGCTTCCAAACAGCTGTAAATTTAGATTTTACGTGAAAAATACTCATCTGGTGTCAAACTCCACACAAGCCTCATTCTGCACAGTAAAGTTAAAACACAAATAAATAAATATAACATTTTTGTGTAGGACGATTTTAAAAGTGTGAATGATGAAATAAACAGAACTGCAAGTGGGAAGAAGTTTTCCAAACCCTCAGCCGCAGATTTCACAATCAGTAAAGGGCAGCAAAGTTAACCATCATGTCTTCGTCGCTCTGTCAGACTAGGTGTGATGACACTTAGTCTGTTTTGAGGAAAAAGCAGACAAACACACTGCCGTCTCCCAAAAACCATATTTAAATGTTTTGCATGCCCTGAAACAAACCAGCAGAGCGCTAAACATGGAGCTTCTCTGCCATTATTGTCACTCCAGCTGTCTGTCTTGTAAACACAAATGAAACGCTCTGCCTCTTCCTCCCATTACAGGTTATCATCCAGAGTGCCACACGCCAACCATCGAACCGGAAGCTGACAGCGATTCCTGGATATGTCGGCAATGTGTCTTTGCAGTCGCAACCAAGGTCAGGCTGCTAATCTCTCCCTCTCACACTCAGGGGGAAAGACATTCAGCGTGTAATATGGGAGAAATCCAGTCAAATATATTGAATTTGTTGTCACTATACTGTTGTGAACAGCGGAAAATGGGTTTATTCCAGGCAAAAGCACACTAATTCCCTCAGTGTTGACTTCAATATTAGATGTTCTACATTGTGTCCAATAAATTGTGAAGAATCAATAGTGGCAAAGCTGAAAAACTACGCTGAAGTTGAGAGAAGTACATTTAAAGTCAATCAATCACATGTGCTCCAGTTCTGTAGATACGAGATGAGAAAGCACCCGGTTAATTGTCAATCGGTCAATGTCCATATCTCATTGTCCAGACTTCCGCTGTTTCGGACACTATCTCTCACGGCTGACCTACAATGAAACGAGACGGATTGCCTTCTCCCCTCCGAATGTGATCCATTTCCCTCGCTGCTCTGACATGACAGTGATTTGAGGGGTCACCGACCAATCAGTTCTGTCCTTAAATTGTCTTTTCAGAGAGGCGGGGCGCTCAAACGGGGACGCTTCGCCCGGCTCATGCAATTTATGAAACTCCGGCTTCCCTACCAGCTGTCGTCTTTAGACTGGGACCAGCAGCATCTGACCAATCAGCAGCAGTGCTACTGCTACTGTGCCGGACCTGGAGAGTGAGTAGCAGTGACTGCAGAGGCCAGTTTGAGAATGAATGAACAGTTCATGTGTGCTCTTTAGCATCTCATCTCATCAAGGTTTTTTTTCTGATTTATTTGCAAATTGCATACAGCATATCAGACATGTGTCAAACTGAATTAGCAGGAATTATTTGAGTTTGTTATGACTTTCTCAAAATGATATGAGATATGAGATTTTCACTTCATCAGTTCACTGTCAGGTAAGTTGTAAATCAAACAATGTGTCACACTAAACTTTTTTATGCAATTGCTACTCTTTTTCTTATGTGTCAAATCCCGACTACCCGAAACATCAATAAGTATAAAACAAACTCCCAAGTGGCATGTGAGTAGTTGGATCCAATGGGAGTTAACACCTGGACACACATTTCATCTCAGAAAATGTGAACTGTCAGCTGCAATCACCAGGCTTCTGTCTTTCCTCAATTATACATATCATGTCTGGTGACAGATGTTAGACACATCCATTCATTCATGTGTTTAAAGTATCTCCTGTTGTTGGCCTGCAGGTGGAACCTGAAGATGTTGCAGTGTGCGAGCTGCGGTCAGTGGTTCCACGAGGCCTGCACACAGTGTCTGACCAAGCCGCTGCTATATGGAGACAGGTGCGTTACCGAGCATTCAACCATCGGATTTCTTAATATTCTGAATTATAAATGTTTTGATTAAATAGTTGATTTATTGGACGTTACTCTCTGAGTGTGTCACGTCTCAAATGCACTCAGAAACTTGGCTTGAATCTTTTGTTGTTTTTTAAAGCAGATTTGTACAAGGTAAAAATAAAAACCTTTTGATAATAATTTAACAATAGTAGAGTGATACAGTGAACTCTCTTTAAATAAGACTTAATTAAAAAAATGTAAATTAAGAAAAAACTAAGAAATAAAAGAAATGAAATAAACATAACAAATGCAATTTGTAAGGGTTTTACTACAATTTCTCTCAACATAAATGTGGATACTGACGATTGATGGGTCAATATTAGCTGACACTGTCATGTCACTACATATAAGTGAGGATCTGAGGTGACTCCTCTCTCTGTATACCTATTTTTCGTTGATCAGAATATTTTTGGGGGTCGGATTCTCACGCTAAATTGACTTTGTACAATATTAAGGTTGGATTGAGCAGAAACCTGTTTTTGCAAACTAAGTAAATGTTTACAAATGTAGTATTTTTTTCCTTTTCAAATAATTTTCCGACTATGTATTTGATCAATCATTTTAATGTATACCATTTTGAAAAAACACCCATCACTATTTCTTTCAGTCAGGGGTGACATCTTCAATGTGTTCGTATACCAACCAACATTTAAAACCCCTGAAGATACACAGTTTAAAATCATGTAAAATAGAAAAGCAGGACATTTAAGCATCAACTCTTCTTAGCAGTAGATTGCAGTCTGATTAAGATATTCAGATGAACGCGTCTACATGACAGCTTCACTTGTCACCTAACTACCTTAATTAGCCGTAGACTAAATCGTTAGCGTGCATGCTAATGGATTCACTGACTTGTGCTCCTTACACACTCGGAGCAAAGGGACAGTGACAGACAGCAGAGCAGACATATCATCTCTCTGGTAGTTGTTCGGATTTGATGTCGGGAGGATAGGCAAGATGCTGATCGCGGTGCAGGCTGATAGGCTGCATCTCATGCATGTAATAAAATGTATCCATCCATTAAGTCATTATTGTCATTAACCATCTGTGTTAGCCCACTGGGTCCTACACCCTCCCTGACACCTTGTTATTGCCCAAGCTGTCTGAGGGGGGAGAAAAGGAGGGATTAGATTTAGATTGACAGTCGGGGGGAGCGAGGCCGGATTGGTACAACATCTGCTGAGCAGGTGATGGAGGAAGAGTGAAGACTGAGCTCACAGTTGGAATAGTAAGCATGTGCTGCCGTCATACTGTGTCTGCGCTTTATCTTTCCCAATGACCTTCACACAAACACATGCATATAGAAGGACAGACGCACACATTGTTGTTGTGGTGTGAGTTTCAGGGTCACTCAGAACAGCATGTTATCATACTGAAACTAATGCACCTGTCTGTTTATTTTTAGTTCAGCCTGATTTATATGACAACATATCTATAGAAGAGTGACTTGTATAAACAGGAAGGAAGGTAAAAAGGGGAAACATCAGAATGTGTATGAAGAACACAATGATAAGCAGTCTGCACAAAAGATGACAGCAGTTTTTGTGTTTTTAAAACTAAAGAAAAATAAACTTTTTTATGCTGAATTATATTGTATAAAATCACATGATGCTAAATTTCTCTTTTTTTCCTCCATGTGTTTTTTTTAGGTTTTATCAGTTCCAGTGCTCAGTATGTACAAAGGGACCAGAGACCATTCAAAGACTACCCATGACCTGGTGATGTTAACCATATCTTTATTGAAATACTTACAGCAACAAAAAAACAAAAACATAATTAAGTAATTTAAAACATGCTTTATTCAAATTTCAAATAATTAATACTTTGTTAAGTACATTTCATGTCTAGTTTTAAGAAAATGGAATTGAGTAAATATATTAGAATAATAACCTTCTGATAGAAATATGGTATATTAATCCAGGCTTTTAAAATGTCACTGCAAATTGAGAAAGTATTTTTCCAGCTTAATCTGTGTCTGTTTTGTATTTGACCTTTTTTCTTATGATCCTATTCTGTTTTCCTTTCTTTTGATATACAGGATGGATTTGGCTCATTTAGTGCTCTACCATCTCTCGCTGTGCTGCAAGAGGAAATACTTTGATTTTGACCATGAAATACTGTCCTTCACCAATGAGAATTGGGACTCCTTGCTCCTAGGCGCGGTATTGATATTTCCACGTTTAAGCACCATGATGAAATGATGTGAAATGCTGCCAGCCTTTTTTGCTTTTGAGACTCAAAGCCTATTAACCGGCATTAAAGTAAAACTTTTAAGTACAAAAAAAAGGATGACCTTTACATCAGCTTAAAGGGAGTACAACAATTGCCTATGACGTTGTATTTTTATGATCTAGGACACTCTGACCAGCATTTGCAACATAAATGAGTCTAGAGTGCTGATGCTCAAATGTGCGATATCACCAACTTTAAAGTCTAAAGTTGCTCCACAGAGAATAAACAGGAAGATAAAATAATACACCAGGGGGAATCATCTAAGCATTACCTGTACATATATCTGAGACTTTGGGTTCTCCTTTAAGCTCCTTTTAAGACATGTGTTTGTTCTGTCAGCAGGCAGCATGTTCTTGAGCCATTAAGCTGCAACAAGTACTTAGATAAATCGACAATATTGCTTTCAGCAACTGTAAACTAAAATGATTCTATGCATTAAAGGCTTTCTGTCCAATGGCCGTCCACGGTGTAAAGACAGCTCTGATTTTTCATCCCTTTCTGTCCTCCAGCTCTCTGACACGCCAAGGCAAGACCGCTGTCACAATCTCCTCAACGCTCTGAACTCCCACAAGGACAGGTAAGTCAGCGCACATGATGAGAAGGATAAACACCGACCACACATGACTGTGTTGTCGAGTAGGACTTTGTGAAAAGAGGGGTCTTCTTAATGCTCCGTTATTTGCAACGTAGTACATGCAGGCTTAAATGTGGGACTTTGAATCAAATGGATTTGACAATTAGACCAGATGAAACTTTTTGGTGCTTATTTTGTAGAAGAGGACACAACTAGTTGTTATACAATCACATGAACCAGTCTTAATTGCTTTTAGTTGGTTTTCATTCAACTTTGCAAACAGGGTCTGCTTTAATTATGTTTATGTAATTACAAATTCACTGACTTTGAAAAGTTCATGAGTCTACTTTTTCATCAGGAGAATAATTAAATGTTCTTCCACAGCGTTGAATAAATTTTTAGCATCAAAGAGGAGTAATGGAAAAAAACACACGCATTAAGTGTTGGTATATTTTAAGAACAACAGGCTGTTAATGCGGCTTCTTTAATGTCGCCGCAGGTTTGTCTCTGGAAAGGAGATAAAGAAGAAGAAGTGTCTCTTCGGGCTTCAGGTCCGAGCCCCGCCTCCGCTGACGTCTGATTCGTCGCCCCTCATCACGGACCCACCTATCAACATCACGCACCGGAGAAGGTCAGTGTAAGGACAGCGCTTCTCTTTTCTGCTCTTATCTCAATAACAGCTCAGGGCTTCCCACAGGGCGTATAGTCATTACGCATGAACAATTAACGTGCAAATCAAAGCGCTGCACATTTCACATGGCAGCAAAAGTATCAGTGTCTTAATATTCTGCAAAAAGAAAGTTAAACCTTCCTGTGTGCTTACGTTCGTACATCTATAAGTGTGTGTGTCTGTGTGTAACTGTATGTGTCCTCTAGCCTGCAGATTTTCAGAGACATTTTTCATTTTTAATCATTTTGAGCATTTAGCTGGGGATTATTCAAACTGAATTACAATGGAATCATTTGCAGAGGAGCAGGGAACAAAAAGTCGTATTATTTGAGTCTCTGAAACACAAGTATAACGTTGTCTTACATGGAAACAATATTCATATCTCCAGTCATTTATCTTGTAGTTCCTTTTGCTTATCTGAATAGCTACGCACTGTTAGTTTCCTGTAGTCAGCAAGACAAAACTTCTTGGTTGGCATCACTTACAGAAATGTAAGATGTTCAGTTCAATTCGAGTGAAGTCAGTTTTTTCCTCCTTCAAATGGATGATGTTTAAACGCCCACATGAGTCAACACATATTAGTTTATCCCTATTCCAGATTTATCCGCTGACTAAATATACATTTTTTACTTAAGATTCTGACTCACACTGCTGACATATCAACCTACGTTCACTCAAATATTGTTAAGAATGTAATATAAACAAATGTCAAAGGTGTTTGCACTGTTAGCAGCTGGCACCAAATATAGTGGTCAGTTTGTCAACCCTGAATTATTCTAGTTTGATCCAGACTAACTTAGTTTCAAAACTAATGACATGATTTTCTTTATATAAGCTGTGGACATTCAAAGCTCAGAGGCTGAACCGACACTCCATGAGCTTTCTGTTTTCTCCTCTGCTCAGGTCAAATAATCACTATTTAAAACCAAACACTGGGGAAAAAAATATCTTTGACATTTTTGAATTGACAAAATATGTTGAAATCATCAATGCTCTCCAGAAGGCAAACCATTTCCATGTCAGACACCGCATTGTTGTTGGTGCCACAATGTCAACTGTATACAAAATATATCTCTTCATCTTCTTTTGCTAATGTTGGAGCTTATTGGACGGTTGACAGTGTAAAGGCAGATTGAAATGGGTAAAGAGAGGGGGTTATGACATGCAACAAAAGTCCTGAGCTATAATCAAACCCGAACCCGAAACATTGCAATTACGGGGCAAATTATTACCAAAGTGCTCCAATTATCGTGCAATTTGCTGAAAGAATATGTATACTACGACAAGGATATATATCTCTACTACCTGTATGGCTCTAATTAAAGCTACATGTATTCCATTCAGTGTTATCCAATTGAGGGTTGTAATGGACATTTGAGCCTCTAGAGGCCTCTTTGGGGGTTTTTAGACATCAAGTCTTCTTTGCAGGAGACGCATTTCCTTTCAAGCCGAAGAAACAATTATTCTTTCCGTAGGTTTCCAGCTCCCTGCAAATGGGCTTATATGTAATATATTTTTACTAATAGAATACATCAAAATCACTCATTATGTTTTACACCTCTCCTAGGCTTCTATGGAGACACAATAATAAACTAAACATTTCACATTGGGACTGAATGCGTGTGTTTATGCTTGTATTTTAATTTATGCGTTTTTTTTTTGTTCTCTTCAGCCCGTTGTCACTACCCTGCCAGAGGAGAGTGGGGGGGCCGGAGTCTCGTAAATCAAAGCGTCGCATCATGGAGACACAGGTCAGTGCCTCTGTCTCCAGATCAGGGCGAGGAGGGAGGCCTGGGCCACGAAAGCGCTCTGATTCTTTTTTTTTTTTATGCATCCAGGTAAACAGCTCTGTGCGATCCAAATAACCTGTCAGTCAGACTGTGATGAAGGTTCATTTCGCAGTCTAAATCAGTCCGCGTGTCTTTAACACCCTGTGCAGCTCAGTATTTTCCTTCTCTTCTTTGCTTCACTTTAATGCCTTCTGATGCTCTAATGTCTATGGTTAGAGTAAAGGTGGCATGTGAGAGATGAAGTCCTGTGCGTTTGGCTCCGTTAAAATGTATAGTTTAAATACAATCTTGGCTGCACAAAAACCCACTGATGTATTTCATCAACATCTGCAGTTCAGCACCACATTTATCATGATGATCAAACCCAATTCCCAGCAGATCACCCTGGCACAGTCAACACTGCATTTTACTATTACTGTTACTATTTATACACAGCATCCTAACGGTGAATGCTCATTGTGTCCTCCTACACAACAATCTGATCCGTCATGTGCACATACAGTAATCCTGGAACAATGCTCTCCACAGAGCTCTCGTTTTCACATCCAGGCTTCCATTGTGCCTCTCTGATTGATGCTAATCTCTGTCCGTCTTGGAGGAGCAGGTTTGTTGTCGTGGGGGGAAGTGAGATGGGAAGGAATGCTGATATGTATAGCCTGGGATCACTTCCAAGTGCACTTTGCAGTCGATTACAGTTTGTCCAGGTGGCGCAGGCACCTCGGCAGTGCATCATTGACAGAGCACATCCATTTAAAGGCACAGACGTCGACAAAGGCCACTGAATAATAATCTCCCGCCCTAATAGCAATGCTAAAGAAGGGAGTGATAATGGTCCAAGTGTGGCGCCATGTGTCACAGTCCAGCAGTAAGATATGCAATGTGGCGTCCCCCAAGACGACGCTTCCAGTGATTGATTGCTCTAATGAAGCTCTGATGTTTTTAGTTTTAATGGGTCGTGAGTCTGTGTCTCAGGAGAGCTGCCTCGATGAACAATCAGCTCCATGGGATGAGCTACGGCTACAGATGATGCGTTCCATTGATGCTTTGTGTCAAATAATACTGTGTGCTTTACTATACCTAGTTTAGTATACATACATACAAATTGGGTATATTAGATTGCTGTTATTATTTCCTGTAATGTCGAGTGGAGATGCCACTTTTCAAGCCCCTGTAGGCCTTTTAGGCAATTCTCATATTCATATTTGCATACCAGTTGCAAATGATACATTGTGTCTTTTAAAAAAGATATACATGTGCAAAGAAATAAAGAAACTCGCATTCAATAATGCTATTAGTCTATTTATATTGTCATATCTGCCTCAAGGCCATGCAGGAACAAATACTCTAACAATACACAATGCATATCAACTCAGTTTTACTTTTTTTCACTGTGAATTTCTGCATGTTCCATATTTAAAGTGAACTTCATGAAGTAGGTCTGAGCATGGAGCTATCAGAGCTTTTATCTGTGTCTCTTGTGCTCAGGTTTGTCCCCCCCCAGCTGCTGCCAACCCCATTGAGCTGCTGCCATGTTGCCAGGGATACATGGGAGGGGCCAGCCTTTACAACTCCAGGAAGTCAGAGGAGGAGCTTAGTTTAAGGTAAATGGGGTTTTATTTAATATTTCCCAATTTTGTTTATGAATTGATGCTTTTTATTGGGTTTGAGAAGCATTCAAATGTCAGGTTAACTTTGCAAGTGTAATTCGACAGAAAAAAACCTGGCAAAAACACAAATATAATCTACCACAGCCTTTTAAGTTAAGTGTTTTTTAGCCATATTAACTTTGTAGTAAGTAAAATGAAGGTGGGATTATTTCCTTGGTAGAAAATATTCCCAAATAACATTTTCAACAACAGATTATAAATGTTTCAGTCACATAATCAAAGTACAAACACCTCTTCTACCCTGACTATTTCACAAGTCAGATTGCACAGAAGTCTATAAGAAAATTGATTTATGACCTCATTAAATATTTCTTAAAGACTTAACAGTCTCACTTAATTAGTTAGAAGTCTTCCTCAATACAGCATGATGTTAATAAATTATGGTCACATTTAGACTAAAATAGACTTTAAAGGAGCATTTACTTTCGGATGTTACTCCTTGTGATTGACAGTTCACAGTTATTTGGAACCAAGCCTTTAAATTATGAAAACTGGATGGAAAATGTTTTCGTGTTAGTTTTAAGTTTCAAAGCAAGTGCTGTCTTCAACAACTGTGCATCTTTTCCACAGCTCTCCTCCCAAGCGGATGTATGCCCTCTACCACACCACATACAACGGAAATTCTTCACTCTCCAGGAGTCTTCATCACTACAACAGGTTCTACTCTGTCTGTTCATTTCTTCATCATCCTCACACTCAAACTTTGCTTATGTACATATCCAGCAACCAGGGAGACGCATCAGCATTTATTTAGGATGATTTTTCTTTCCACCTAATCTTCTGTGTTCAGTCCCTCCTTTCTGTCCTTTGATCTATTGTTTTTATAAAACATCGATTGGAGCATCTTTAAGTAATTCATCCTCACGACATGTGAACGGTACTTTATGTTTATAGTCATGAAAATAGATCAGGCTGTACACATTTTAAAGCGAGTAACAGTATATTTGTGGCAAACCTTAAAAAACATTCCAATAAAAATATGGTATTGCCTTATGTTTCCTTATCTGAATTAGAAGGGGAACTACACCTACAGGATTCAGTCCCTGTTCCTGACTCCTGTGATCTCTTTTCCCAGCGTGGAGGACACCTGCAGAGTACCACCACCTTGCTACCCTTACCCCCTCAACTCCAATGGCAGCCTTCACCACCACCCCTACCAACACCAAAACAACCACCAACACAACAACCAACACCAACACAACAACCACCAGCACAGCCTCCAACACAACCATCAACATAACCACCAACAGAGCCACCAACACAACAACCACCAACAAAACCACCAACACAGCCACCAGCAGCAGCCCGGGCAGAAGCAGCTGGAGCCCCTCATCCTACGTGAAATGCCCCCATACCAGGCGGACAATGGCGGAGAGGGTGGTGGAGGAGGAGGAGGAGGAGGTGGAGCAGGGGGGGTTTTAGTTGGAGGTGCAGATGGGACAGTGTCCAGGAGCTGCGGAGGAGGGGAGGCAGTGAGGATTTTGGCGAGACGCGTCACACCAGACGGGAAGGTGCAGTACCTCGTGGAGTGGGAGAACGTGAATCTGTACTGACACACGGAGAGTAAACACGAGACGCAGTGACTGTTCGCCACAGGAATACTCTCTGTGTGATATGTGGCGGTGTTTGAAGTACAAACAAAACAAAAAAAGGACAAAAAAAAGCCTCTACACGTTGCAAATCCAGGTTGCTCTCACCTCTATTCTACAGCATTATAATTCACTACTCGTTACTAAATGTCCCTTTTTGCTAGTGTTTCTCTGATATTTGTACTGTTAACTTTGGAATATGCCTTTGCATTTATCATGTTTAACGGTGATGAGGGAAGATATTTAAACCTCTGGAGAATGTGTAAACATTTGGAAATCAAGAAGAGAATATCTTTAAGTGTAGTCAACATTTGGTTATACATCACTGGATAAGCAACCGTTTAGTAAAATACATTTAAAAATATGCTTTTTGTGAAAATGTGAACATTTTCAGTGTTTCTAACGCTATATCTTAATGTGAATATACACCCTATTTTGCATTAAACTATAATCATTATTGGCTTATTATTCTCACTACCAAATGAATGATTAGTAGGTACTTTAAATATGGAGAAAATTCAAGATTGAACTCCTTTGTTCTTTTAAAATTGTTTTATTTAACAGCTTGCCACAGCTATATGGATAGTCACAAAGCAAGTAGCTCATTGATAAATGGCTCGGTAAAAAATTGATGGAGTTCAGTCAGAAATTTGTCCCAGAAAATACATTTGATGAATTATCAATTATCAGTGACGACAGATGGGTGGTTGCTCATGAAAAAAGCAGTGACCTTTTATTTGCCATATTGTAGTTTAATGCCTTGCTTAAAGGCACATTGAAAGCAGTGGTTAATTCCTGCTCGGACAAACAATTCTGTGGAGGTTTTTATATTTTCTCATCACTGTATGTTAATAAGAGATTGTATACATGTTATTACGGGGTTACTTATTTGTTTTGTTAGATTTTGTTACATCATTTAAATTAAAACTAATGTACGTATTAGACATAGGAGCCTCAACAGGGCTTTTGTTTTATAGATAGAATTATATATTCACAATATATTGCTATGAATATCTTTCTTTTATTTTTTTGACGTGGTTGCATAGTGCCTAAACGGGTTGTGTACCTGCCGATTGGTCTGCTGACTTTGGTCGACCAATCAGACGACAGATAGATGAACGAGGCCATGTTGCTACTAAACAAGAGGATGGCTCTTTGTCAGTTAAGACTTCATTGGTAATCAAGGACCAGTTATATAGTTGAGTCGTTTTTTTAATCAGAGCAGGACTGTGATGTTACTGTACATTCCAAACAAACAAACAAACAAACAAACAACAACTGTTTGAAGTCATCAGAACGGAGAATATTTTCAGAGATTGCGTTTCTTTGTTTTACTTTTTATGGGTGTTAATTGTTATCCCGATCAGCTAAAGGTCAGGTCCAGGTTTAGTTTGTAGGGAGTTCAATCCTTGCGTTCAAAGTAACAGTACAGGTAAAGGAGACACTGATAGGCCCGACTCCTAACTCAAACCCATCGTTTCTTCCAGGGTTTATCACAGTCTATAATTGAAAAGGTACAACCTGACACTAAGTACAAATTCATAAGTCAAAGCCTGACTTCTGCTCAGATGTGCTTACAGAGGCAAGTGAGGTGCTGAAGTTGGATTTTACAGGTTACATAAATCTAGAATACTGTGGTGCAAGTTTCAGAGTTTATATTTTATACAGAGGTTTATTTCTGGATCTGCTCAATAAAACGTACACAACATATATATTTCAGTTTTAACTTTCAGGAAAGACTATTACAGGTTTGGTTGAAAAAGCAAAAGATGCATACAGCATTTGTACTGTTATAGTCAAACCAATGCAAAACTCAGATTTGATTTAATTGTCGACCTCTCTGTTAAACTAGTGCACATTTCATGACAGTGACATTAGGTTGATCTCATCCTCCTCAGTGACTATTTGACTGTAGTTTATTAGGAAGGGGTGTGTTGAACCTTTCTAGGCGAAGGTGATGAATGTATTTGTGTGTTTTCTATGGTATGTCGATACCCGTCAAGTGCTTGTTCTAGGTTGTACTCGAGGTGGAACCCAACCCGATTTGTTAAAAGCATAAAAAGGGAGGATATAAAAACATCAACATTGAGGAACATCATTTACTTTGGGAGAGGTAGTCTTCTTTTTCTGATTAGTAGTCAAGTCCAGGTTCAGTTTGATGTACTTTTGGAGAAATTACGTTTGTTCATATATACTCTGTGTTCACACCTAATATGTAAAATGAATAATAAAAAAACGTTTCACCTCATGCAATGTTTATTTTTGTACTTACGGGTTATCATTACTTCTATAGATTATACACAGTCCACTTATACCTTTCAGTTTTTATCAATACTATATTTTGAGCCAAGTACAAACCAGGAGAGCGAACTAAAACTAAACCAGGAACAGAATAAATGTTTGTAGTATAAATGAAGACGGGGTTAGCAGAAAATGATAAAAAGACACCATCACTTCAAATGATTCGGCCAAATAAAGCTCTAATAAACTTCTTCAGTTGATATGTGAAGAGGCAGATAGAACAACACAATAAAGCTCCTGTTTGGCCTTGGGATCAGTATTTGTGTCAACTCAAGGAAAAAAATGTTCCCCCTTAGATTTCAAACACATTTCATGATCTTTATCAATGTATGGAATTGAATCAGTCGCCCACACTTTTTTTCAGAAAAAGCTAGTTTAGCTTGGTTTTGTATGTTAGTTAGTTTGTCAAATAACTTCAGACTTTCTCTTGCTGAAAGAAAGGATGAATATTTTCTTTGATAATGATTTGAAACAACTGCAAAACGCTTAATTTAAAGTGGACACAGCGTAGCCATTTTGATTCAAAACTTCATAACAATTTTTGATCAATTCAAATAAGCATATAACACTTCCTCATCTCCTAATTAAAGATAACTTCCGGATTTTTTTTTTAAAGAACGTGTGGCGATGATGTGTGGTTCCCAGCTGGAATCAAACCGGTGAAGTTGCGAGAACGTTGCTTGTGCTGTAACCACTCAGCCACCAAAGTGCTCTTTGTTTCACCAATACATCAATACATATCAGGGCCATTCAAATTATATATCTAATAATGCTATGTAGTCAATTTAGTTGAAAATTGTGTAAAAAAGTGTGTCAATAAAACACATAAATCAATGGATAAATATTAAAAGATTTGAATTGGTTATCTAATTGGTTATCTTGTCCATTCTGCATCACAGTATTACAGTTATAAGTTTGATAACTTTGTGACTTCAAGTTGACGTAGTTGAATTTCTTCATCTTCATTTTGATGTTCTTTTTCTCTCAAGCCTTTGGTATCAGAGATGGTCCAGTGGTATAGACGTCGAACCAGGTAAGCAGAGATGTGGGTTCGAGACGATGGACCTGAGATACTTCACTCAAGTGCTTGTGTATGTGATGAATGTATGTTGTATAATTTGTTGGCACAAAAACATCAGATTGAACATCAAAACTCAAAACGTTGCAATCTCGTCGTCAATAAATGTTGTTTTTTTGCGTTAATGCATATAAGAGGGTTTTTATTGTTGTTGTTTTAAAATAAATCTTAAAAGGCTCTTGTTTCTTCTGTCTTTTTTTGAGCTGATCTTAACTTCCCTCATAAGGATATACTTATGGTGTGTCTGATAGTATGAAAGCCACCTCTCAGCTTCATTTCAATTAAATATGCACTATTTTTATAAAAAGTAAGGGGTTCCTATGTCATTATAAACCAAAAGATGAATTGGCGTCTCTAAGATGATCTCTAAAGCACTACTTAAACATGTTATTACACAGAGCAGACGGTTTCTCTTTATATATGTATCACCTCTTTAAAAAGGCAGCATTAGACCGAGGCTGGCTGTTTTTATTTTCTCAATGATCATATCCACAGTGGGTGGTAATCAAACGATGTTGGTGAGGATCCCTCTCAATGAGTCTGATGGTGGGGATGATGAATTACATCACAGCCAAATGTGTCCAGTAGGAAAGATTAACTGCTTTTTGTTGGCAGAAAATGTACACCTGCTGCCAATATGAAAGACAGATGTTTATTTTATGTTTGTGCCAGTTACAATGAGGTTTCAAGATAAATGGAAGTGCTTTGAAGGAATCTAAAGATAAATACTGCGACAACCATAGGAATGTTTTATTTCAAGAAAGCAGAAGCAGTAACAATTGATATGTTCTTGTCTTTAAAGTAAAATGCATTAGCCCACTTTGCAGCTGAGTCGAGTTGTGTTTAAAGCTTGGATAAGTACATTTTTGTGGAAAGTTACTTATTTGTTTGTTGTCCAATGGTACTTTAACATGCATTTTACCCAAATCACATCGCAAGACTGAAGCCAGAAAAACACAGGTTTTTAATGATACAATTAATTATATATTTATTTCATTTAAATGCTTTGGTTTTAGGCTTCTTGCATTGTGCATGCTGTTATACTTCGACACTTCAATAATAAAGAGCCATTCTAAATTGAATTAGTAAAAGCTGTTATTTTCCTAGTATGACAAGTGTCAGGTGCACTGGTTTGTGAGATTATGAATATAATAGACACAAAGTAAACTAGTAATATCTGTATAACAAATGTACAATTTATAATTTTGATATTTACAGTCCTTTCTTTTATTAATGGAAAGCTGCAGAAGGGATTTCCACATGGCAGTGGGTGAGTGAGATGGATATAACAGCACCTTGCTTTCTTTGTCGTTCTGTGTTTTATATGTTTTCATCCTTAAACCGGACAGTTTTGTTAATATTCTGAGCTTCACCTGCAGCTGCTGGTTTTGACCACAAGGCGGCGGTCACACATCGACATTTAAACTAAAGTCAGGTGCTGCACTGTGCTGCCTTCAAATGTCTTTCTGAAGCAATGGGGTACAGGAAGGATGATAGCTTAGACCTGCTCAGGTGTTTAGGGGTGAAAACAAAACCAAAAACGCCCAAAAAGTACAACATGACACGGATTTGTTTTTGGGGTTTTGAAGTCAACAGACAGAAAAGTGCTATTATGTATTTGGGTCAGGGATATAAGGAAGACATTATGTCAAAGATGTAAGTATGCCGGTCTGTAAAACCAAGCTTTTTTCTGTTACGTTAAACAAGCTCAAATAAGCCAAAGTTGTGCAGCTATCATTATATGATGAATACCGTTCATATTTACAACTGAACACAATTCATCTTAAATACTTGTGACAGGTAGATTAAACAGACCAGTGGTGTCTGACAGTTTATGTTTCTAAATTCCACAACATTAAACTTTTATAGGCTATATGGGCCATTCTACCGAATTGGACCAAAGTCAGGTTGGAAATGTTTTGAAATGTTGTATGTTTTTCTCCCAAAACTTTGTCCATTTGTACCATATATAAATTACACATATCTAGTAAAAGAACCGTACATTTTTATATCGTATTTTCAGACTGTATTGGAATGTTTTTCCTTAACCAAAAATGGTCACTACCGAAACATAGTACATACACTGTAAAAAAAAGTATTATATTAACCTGTTAAGATTGTTTTACCTTCCCTTCTCTAAATGGTATTTTAACAAATATTTCTTGAAGGTTTTCACAATTAAATTAATATAAGTGAATTGTTAATCAAATTTCAAAGTTCCATTTATACAATTCATAAAAATCATAATGCAAACTTTCTTTGTAAAATGCATAATACTGATCATATTGATTCCAGAGTTGATGATTTTTTTAATTGAACATACATTAAACCAATCAGTATCATATCATTTTAGTTGATAACTCAATATACTTAATTTTTTACAAAACATCCAGTGTTTCGGTAGTGACCACAGTATTTTGTTCTCAAGGTTTCATCATATTCCCTCAACCTTATTGCTTAATTATTGCTCATAACATGCCTTATGTTGAAGTGTGAATGTTTGAAGCTACTGACCCAGAATCAGCACTTTAGTAACAGGCTGAAATAGAGGGGAATGAGGCTAGAATGGGTGATCTGTTTGGTATTTTGAGCAAAACACTTCATAAACATGTTTTTTATATATCTGAGACCTATAATATATGCCTACAAATAGTATAACAAGATACCTTTAAAGTAACATACTGATTTTCAGACTTTAAAATACATTTATTTCAAAACTATGGGATTTACCTGCTTACCATTCCACTTTGTCACTACCGAAACGATCATGTCAATTACCTAAACTTATATGTTTCGGTATAGTGACTGTTTCGGTAGTGACAATTCTAGCTAAAATTGAGCATAACTAAAGAATGCTAGCAAGTACATGGCTAGCATTCGAGTCATTCTACAGAAAAGGTGGAATCTGGGTGATACAAATCTGCTGAAATATATTCCTTCTAAACACATCTAAAACCTGTTAAATAGTAATAACTAACTCTTAACTTGATGAATCCACAACAAGTGGAGCTTAAAGTATTTGTATTATTTGTATACATTATACAAAGCTTATTTATATAGGAACGTCACTGGTGTTACGTGTTACCAGGAAGAAGAGTAACACCAGTGACGGTAACACCAGTGACAATTTGGAGAAAACACTACCATTTTAACAAAATTGCTGCCAGGTGTCAGACCAAATATGGCTTCAGTCAATATCAAAGTCGTTTAACTCTTCAATACAATACATTTTCCCATTCAAATGTTCTCCCCTAGGGCTATGACATGAGTAACACTAATGACAGACTTGAAAGACGCACGTAACATTTGAAGATAAAAGGACACCATTAACAAACAAAGTAACTATCTGACTTTCTTTATGTCTTTGTCCACTGCACTGCCTCAAATGATCTCTTGTTACAGGAGGCACTTCAGAGACAGTACATTACTTAACAATAAAAGCGTTTTGTGTAGCAGCAATGACGTAATTTTGGGTGACTGACATTGGATATTATTAATAATAATTTGCGTTTTTTTTTACCATTTAAGTGTTATATTTAATGAATGTAATGTTATGTAAATATGAATGAGATTTATTTATTGAAAAAAAAAATGTTTAATGAAAACTATAGGCTCCACTTCCATGTACGATCAAAGTGACAAGGCAGTTCCTTGAACTTGGCATTTTAAATAAATTGCAATTTATGTATAAAACAATTTTTGTATTTTGTACCATTGAAAAGACAATCTCTATTTATTCAACATATATAATAATAAGAATGACCTTCAATCACGCCTCAAACTGACGGCACTTGTCTCTATAGCCTGTTTTAAATTGAAGTTGTCAGAAGTTCTTACCACCAGCTGCTCTTGCAGTAATAAGTAGTGCCTTTCTTACTGTCCTAATGTGCACAATGTAGTAACTGCTTTTTTCGTCTTTTGTTTTCTTAGTTATGTTCTCTGTATTTTATATGTTTGTGTTATGTGTTATGTGTAACGTTGCTGCCTTCTTGGCCAGGTCAGCATTGTAAATGAGATTGTATCTCAATGCTTTTTATCTGGTTTAATAAAGGTTAAAAAAATAATAATAATGAATGTGAGTATTAGGTCAACGTCATGTATTTTGGTGTCTGCAAAAGTAAGTGACAGTATTTCCACCTTTTCTGTAGCATGACAGTTTTTTAAGAGGTTTACACACATAATACTTTGCATAAAACCCAGAGAAAGCGTACTCAATTGAAGATAATGTGTTCGGTAGTGACAATTCTTAAGGTTACACGCCGATTTTCAGATTTTGGAACAGATTTTTATCAAAATTATGGGATATAGCTACTTGCCATTCAGCCATGAGGGACAGGGATGCAGTGTCACTGTCTTCCATAGGCTCAGCCATTGGACTAAAACCCCTTGTGTTTCGGTAGTGACATGAAAACTGGGGACATGATTTTTTGAGTAGGCCTATAATTTTTTTATTAAAAAATGATACCCACAATAAATCTAAATATTCCAACTTCTGTTTGAATGTAACCATAAAGATTTTCTAAATACACCAATGAACAAAATACAAGTGTTATTTACAGAGATTGAAATTTAGATGTCAGGGTTGGGGACAGAGCTCCACTTCCCAATAGAAAGTACCCTATAAATTATGTTTTTGTATAGGCTATTAAGCTTATCACTATCTAATGTAATGCCTTGTGTTTAAATAGACCATAACCTATTGTTAGTAAATATCTATGTCTGAATACTTAATTAGTTTTGTTAAATAGTTTTTCTTGTTGTGGGACCGAACTTTAATTTGGTAGAATGCCCCATATAGGCCTACAGTCTGTGTCAATGACAACCTTAACGTCGAGTATACGCTAGCATTAGCACTCCCACTTTCACAATACGTTTTTAGCCAAAAACACTCTCCGTTCATATGTTTATAGAAATTATATCACATACTAGCTTAACTTGTAACTGTTATTTCTACCACGTTACCTGAAAGCACCATACTCCTCATGAGGGCGCCATTTTGGCTCTACAGTTTCTCACTTCATGCAGTTCCTCCGTTTAGTCATGTGCGTGTAAAATCCAGCGTCGCATGATGTTTGCAATGATTAACATAAGTGAACCACCACCAGGGTATGTGGTCAAGTAGAATCCAACTTTAATGTTAAAAATGTATTACCACTTCCGTATGCTATCAACAGTTGTCAGCAGTTAAATTGTTTTCAACATAAGTCGAAGTTTTACTACGGCTAAAACGTAAGGTGTCTGCAGTAATGAAAACAGTCAACAGTTTTGTCAGGGAGACAAAGGTATTATAATAATGATTAAACTGAATTAATGTAGGCTAATTAAACCTAAATGTTAAACTTCAGACTACAGAAAAGATACATTTTCAAAGTGAGTGAGTTATGGTAGCCTGTGTAAAACTCTAAAGCTACCTTTGGGACACACACACACACACACACACACACACACACACACACACACACACACACACACACACACACACACACACACACACACACACGTAGCCTCAAGCAGTGGCCTACAATGCATTCACACAAGCACAAAATGTAAAACACATAGGCTAAAGATAGGTTATAGATATTGGTAATCGTGCGCACCCACACACACGGACACACGCGTGTGCTCGCTCCGTCACCCCCTTCTCTCTCTCTCTCTCTCTCTCTCTCTCTCTCTCTCTCTCTCTCTCTCTCTCTCTCTCTCGTGTTTCACCCTCACACCTCAACAGCAGCGTGCAAGTAAACACACGCGCGCACACACGCACACACATATTTCTCTTGTATCCTGTATTTTTTTATTCACTGGGAACCGAGCGCTTTATAAGCGGTCGTGGATTATGATGCTATTTTTTATAGCAGCGGAATATTGGCCTCTCTTTCGGCTTCAACTGTGAACAGCACTATATCGCGTTATTTTTTATTTTTCAGATTTATTTATAATTTGGTTCTCCGTTACTTCTGAGCACCGAGGGACCTCCGAGACGCAAAGCCTACGTTCAATGCCGTTGGAACATGTCCTATGTTCCCTTTCAAGGTAAGACAGAGCATATTTTATATTTTTTTGTCATCCACTGCATTTTCCTATTCTGCCCTCCTCCCCCGTTTCTCTCCATCCTCTCTCTCTTCCACTCTCCTTTTCTCTCTCTCTCTGTTCCTCTCTTATCCCTGTGTCTCTATGGCACTATCATATGCAATAGGCATATCTAAAAGCACCGTAGCCGACAGGTGCATAGAAATAGCCCAGAGATGCCCACACACTGACACAAACACACACACGCACGCACCACACACACACACACACACACAGGGATCCGGCGCAGCGTGTGTCCGATTGGACCTGGGCATGCGGCAATTATAGTATTGTAATAAGGTATGCATGTGTGCTGGTGTCACGGTCTACTCTTCAAATGCATTCATCCATGGCATTGCAGCCTGAGAGTTGATGGTGAAAAAAATGCTGTGATATTCTTTAAATACTCCCATAATAATCCTCTGTTCTTATTGGGTTCATGGTACTCATAAAGAGTTTATATGGCACACGTTAATATTTGTTTATTGTGGTATTATTAAGTAATATGCTGCCCTTATCACTCTTAATGTCTTTTTTTTTTTAATGTTGGTGTAAAATGCTAGTAATATTCTAGGTAGGCACTGTCAGTGTAAGGAGATTAGAACATGTAATACTAAACCATCTCTTATGAAATACTGCTAGTTCTGTAGTGTCTTGCAAAAATATATTGGTGGTTTTGTCAATAGCCTGAATGGACTGTATCCTGCCTCCTGTGTGCAAAAACTTTGGCCCACTAAAATATTTAGATGACCAGAATGAGAGGCTACTTCATTCTTGCTGGTCTTTTATTCCCCCGTACTCGAGTGTGAGTGGGTGAAAGGCGCTTCAGTGTACGGTAAAGGCAGATTCCCCTTGGTATCATTGCACTGCAACTGTGACTAATGCTATATGTGAGCAGGCGTGCTGCAGTGAGCTGCCTCAAATTTAGCCAGTCAAAACGCTCAATTTGCAGTGTGTGTGTGTGTGTGTGCTCAGAGGGGCTAATTTGAAAAAAGCGAGGTCTTCAAACGTGATGGTCAGAGGGAGACGGGGATGAGATTGAACGCCCAGCGCAAAGTTTGGAGGAACCGTGAAGGATTGGGGGTGTCGAGTGAGTACCTGCTATCAAAAAGATGTCAAAAACTGTAGGGACGAGGAGGAGGAGGAACTTGATATACGTGTGTCTGTGTGTTTGACAGAGAGAATATGAGCGGTGTGAAGTCACGGAGAGAGTGCTGCATGTGACTGTCAGGGTAACACTCACAGACCTGTAACCCCTTGTAGAACAATATGGGTGCCACCAAAATGGAGACTAATCTCGACCTAAAAAAACTCTACTCTCCTGGACTCCACTGTCTTCTCATGTGCAGCTCAGATGATGAGTCCAGGGTTGGAGTCATCATCTGAGCTGCTCATGAGAAGAGCGAGAGCACATTTTCCTGCTCAGATCCTTTTAACTCAGATTTTTATATTCGCTGAGAGCAAAGCAGATAATGGCCAAAATTCCCTCTTGTGCAAGTGCAGCTATAGAAGTTGGTTGCATAATGTTGGTGAGATGCTCTGCTTGTGTGTGGTGTGTGTGTGTGTGTGTGTGTGTGTGTGTGTGTGTGTGTGTGTGTGTGTGTGTGTGTGTGTGTGTGTGTGTGTGTGTGTGTGTGTGTGTGTAAACCCAATCTGGGAGTCATTGCCAGGAAATTGTGAGCACAGTGACTGCACCTTCAAAACCTGCCAGCGAAGGCACTGAGTTCTCTTTCTCTGTGATCGCACACTGCTGTTTCATTTTAGACATTGTTGTCGGAGCTAAGCATTATTTAGTCAGATTCAATTTCGTAAAACTGAGGATTTATGCGTTAACTGGATTACAAGGCATATCAATATGAGCAGGTTTTATGGTTTTACCTTCATAAATGCATCAATCGTATAAATATTGTACCATTAGTAGAAATGACACCTGACAACTTATTAATTTGTATCATTTTATATTGTAAAGCCAAAAAGTTAACATAAATGCCCCCTAAATGTTTTTAAAGAAAAATTCTAAGTTTCTTACTTTTACATCTATCAGTGAATATCTTTTGGCTTTTGAACTTTTAATTGAGCAAGATAATCCATTTAAAGACAACCCTAGCATTAACCATAAATAATCATTTGTGAAAGTAGTTGGCAGTTGCAGCCTTATGTATTTTGGCCAACCACCTTATTACACTATCCATCTCCCCTGTCCACCTATACATTACAAGCTCCATGGTTACTCAAAGCGATTATGTAACACAGTGTGATATTTATGCCGCACAGTGACTCAACATCTACAGATAAAATATATGGTAAGTCGGCTGGTATTACTGTGAAATTGATTTGTGATGAGGTATGGATACACATGATGGGTGAGGGTGGGGGGGGGACAAGGACCCTCAGCGATCTTGCAGATGTGTTTGAGCCCACATTGACGAGTGTGTTAAGCTAATGTAGCAGGCAAGCCATTTGCAGTCATGCCAAGTACCGGCTCACATGAACAGGCAGTTAGTGGGAGGCAGGCAGCAGCAGCAGCAGCAGAGATGGGCCTTCCTATCTTGGCTAAATCTTTTTCCTCCCTCATTCGCTCTCTTAAACTCACACCTCCTTTTAGTCTATCTCTTTTTTCTTTTCTCTCTCTCTCCTGCACTGTCGACCCCCCCTCATGCTGAAACACCCACACACACATACTACACACACGCATGCTCTTCTACCCCCTCACTGCCTCTTCAATCGCTCCCTCTTTTCCCTCCACTACAATGGCTGTATCCATGAGTGCAGATGGACACTATGGAAGCAAGCTGCCAGCCGCTGAGCTATCCCTGGCCTTGTCGATTTTACAGTAGTTTGATACAGCAGCTCCTGTCAGGCATGGCCATAGTTAAAGAGACAGCACACCACCAATGCACTGCAGCACTCCTCTACTCCCTCCTTCTCGTTCCCTCTCTTTCTCCTTCTCTCATGTGACATAAGGGACTGTCTTACACCCCTCCACTACTCGGGCTGTGCCAAGAACCATCATCTGTTAGGCTATTACTGTACTGCAAGCATGAGATTCATCTAGCCCTGTGCACTAGATGATCTGTCAAGAGAGAGAGAGCCCATTCATTCTCCAGTGGGGTGCTGAGTGTACTGGAGATGCGTTTGCGGTGGCTTTTTAGAGTGTTCTGGAGCACAGGCAGCAGAGACGACCATTGATGAGCATTTGGGAGAAGTGATTTGCTTTTAATCACGCATGTCGGGCTGAATTCTCCAGCCGGAGAGCTTCCCGACTGGAGTTGACAGATCTCTAGTGATCCGACATGAATCAAAGAACCCCCTGTCCAAGTTCATGGAAGATTTACATTTGCCGGGCAATTCCCCTCTAGATGTGGGAAGTCAGCACTTTTAAATGTCAAACAAGACTGTCCATTCAGCTTTCCAAGAATCCCTAAAGCTTTCTGGTCAAAGACGTGCAATGATGTCAAGATATTGAGGAAATGTAACTCCACTGCCATTATTCTGCAGATAGGGGGTCAAAAAACGTTCAACAGTTTAAAACAACTTAATGCGCTCACACAGTATTTAAAAAATTTTTATCAGCTTGATCAAGGATCTAATAAATATGCACACAGGGTGGTGCATAGCAGTCGCTTCTTCAAAGGCATATTATGGAGCAGACATTTCAAGGTCTTTGATAACCTGGAGGTCAATCCATAGTTAACCTTGGCAGCATTCAATATGTCTGTATTACACCAGGGACTGGGACCATGTTGACCCATTGATCATCCAACACGTGTAAGTACTGAGACCCCGGGCGAGATCTTAACATGATGTGACATTTTAGTGGAGATGCATTCTTCATCAACGTTGGGGCCTTTGGACTGTTGGCCCCAATAATATAGTTAGTCATCTGCATAGAGTGTAAGGTAGGTCGCTCTCAAGCTTGCAGAGTCAAGAATGTCTTACTTGGTGCGTGTTCGTAGAAGGCTCTGAATGGTTTATTTTTGGCAAAGAATAAATGAATCCTTAGTGCAGATGTGTCGTCACTCCACTGTCTTTTGTTCAGTATCATTAGATTGACTAGTCGTGATTCGTGAGCTGATTGTCGTCTCTTCCTATCGGTTGCCCAAATGATATTTTTGTAAAGAATACCAGGACCCCCTTATCCTCAAAGAGCCTTTAGTGCTTTAGCGATATTAGGGGAATCTGCACGGGGGCTGCTAAAACTGAGTCGCTTGGAGGAGTGGCATTTTAGATTCAGCTACACTTTGGGTGGGTGGGTAATTCAATTCTGGTGCAAAGCCAGAGTGGAATGACTCAATAAGAGAGGGAGAAAGAGAGAGAATGCCTTGGCTTTTGATTGATCTCGTCAGGATTCACTCACAACAAAAAAGGTCAGGATGAGCTGCCTCCCTCTCTCCTGCACCAATCAGTGGGCTGCCAATCCGGGATAATGATCTCCCTCTGGATATGGTTGGCTCATAAGGTTTGCGGCCATGATGTCATCCAATCCCTTGGATGCCCGTGATTCAGAGCTGTGAGGTTTTAGCAAAGTACCCTAGGCGGTGTGAGAAGTTACAGTACATATGTCAGTAGTATTGAGTCATGGCGGGACCGGTGGATGGAGTACTTTTTTTATATTAATTCACAGCATGAAGGGATTTTAGTAGTCCCTGATTCATTATTTTTAATGTTCTCTAAATTATACTTGTAGAACTCTATTCAAATTATTGAATTGTAAAATACTATTATGTCCATTGATTTGCTTTCCTACAGTTTTAATTTCCACAATTGCCTTTTGTCTTCCTTTTTGCAAACGTATAGGAATGAAGGTGTGAAAATGATAAGAAATATTTTATTTCACATCATGCGAGCTATAGCTGAGTAGCCTTTAGGTTAAATAATAATGTGCATAATTGAAAGTATAAACAGTACACTGGGGGGATTTTTTCATTTCCTTTGACATGTTAACTCAAAGTATTTCATTACCT